AGTGGCGCTGTAGCTCAAGTGGTAGAGCGCTCGCCTTGAGCTGAAGAGCTGAAGGACAGCGCCCAGGCCCAGAGTTCAAGCCCCATGACCGACAAAAAAAAAAACACAAAAAAAACCTTTTTTTTAGAGGTGGGGACTGGGATTTGAGGTGGGAGGTGCAAAGTCCTAAAGGAAGAGCTGAAGGAGGGAAGAGGAGAGGAGAGGAGAGGGAGAAGGTGGGCCCAGGGTTTCCTACCTGGGCCAAGGGGATGACTCTCTCCATGCGGAGCATGCGGTCCCGCAGGGCCTGCAGCTCACGGTCCTTGGTGCTGTTCTGCAGCTTCACCTCCTGCAGAATCCCTGTCAGCTTGTCGATGTGAGCCCGGAGGTCCTCGACCTCTGCACCTCGGGCTCCTTCCTCTGCTCCACCACTGCCACCTCCGCCTCCTTCCTCCTCTCCCACTGTGTCCCAAACATCCCGGGCCACGGCCTTCCAGGCATCTCCAGGCCCTTCGGGCTTGCCATAGGTGCGACACAGCTCCCGCATCTTGAGGGCAGCCAGGGCCTCGATTTCAGCACGACCATGGCGGAAATCAGCCAGGGCCACCTCATAGCATATCTCCTTGACAGCTTGCATCTTCAAGTCAGCCATGGTGGCCCAGCGGGGGTCTTTGCCTTGTAGCCGCCTACGCTGGGGGATCTGGTAAACCCTGCGGGGAGCCCTGCGCTTGCCACTGCTGGGCAGGCCACAGCGCTTGACAATGGTCTGGACAGTGGTAGGGGGCAGCTGCTCCCGCAAGGAGGAGATCAGTCGCCAGCTCTCTTCACAGGATCGCTTGTCAGAGTCATCCCCACTGTCAGAGTCTGCATACTGACACCAGAGAGAGAGATGACAGGGAGAGGGCTAAGGATACCCCAGAGCCCCTCCCTGTCCCAAAGACTGGGGACATGCCATTAGCGAGCCTGGGCTCCAGTGCTGCCCTAGCTCCTAGAACTATGCACCCCTTTGGGACTGTTTAGCCTCTACTAGTCTAGACAGTATAGATTACAGAGCTTCATTTGAAGGAGTAAATATTTGGAATAGCAGTTGGCTATTGTATTATTTACAGCTAATAAAATATCCATTTTGTGCAGTCATGTTTTACTTCACCGCAGGAACACATTCTGAGAAATATGTCTTTGGGTGATTTTGTGTGAGCATCATAGACTCTACTGATATAAACCAAGGCAGCTACACATTACTAGGTGACATAATCTTATGGATCCACACTCAAATGAACAGTCTACAGTAAATAGAATCATCACTCTGTAGGGATATGACCGTATCACTGCTGGGAATGAGGTTAAAGACTTTAAAGTCCACTTAAAGAGTAATCTTAAGTAAACAGCAGTACTTGAATATGGAAAAGATCATTCACCAGAGGACTGGTGAATCTGGGGATCCCTGGTCAACTGAGGCATTTCCGTTTCTGTGCAGTGTAACTGTTTCTTCCCCTGGTCTCATTTCTCCCCTAGCCTTTCCCGTGTAGACACCCCCCGCCCCCACTCCTCACACCCACCCCTAGTCCTCATTCAGGCCCAGACAATGCACCAAAAGCGGAGTTGGGCAGAGTTGATGTTGGACTTGCTGCTCACCTGCCCACCAGTCCCTCCCTGAGTTCTGCCCCTGCCACACCCCAGGTACCCTCACCAGCCGCTGCTGCTCTAATAGAAGGTCGGCCTCTTCCTTTTCTTTCCGGTACTGATTCTCCAGATCCTGTAGCCTGGGATTGGGCAGAGGGAAGGAAAAGCTGTGGGAGGCTCTGGAGCTAATGTAGTAAGGTATAAACCACAAGAAGAGACTGGGGACTTGGGGACTAGAGGGGACACACGGGCCAGGGGGGAGGAGGGTGGTGGAGAGTCTTGCACCTCTTCTCCATCTCCAGCTTGATGTCAATTCCTTGCTGCTCCAACAGTTCCTTCTGAGCAAAGTTCCAGTCAACAGGCTCAGAGGGCGGTCCTGGGGGTGGGGGAACCCCTCGTTCCCGCTCCAGGCGTGCCTGCTCCGGATGATTGAAGCGGAAAACATGGTTCTTGCCCATTACGATCCTATTCCCTGGAGATGCAAAGAGGGGAAAATAGACTGGCTCCCCTAAAACAGCAAAGACACCCCCAAGCCCAAGACATATATGACCTAGTCCTCGAGTCCCAGGACAGCCTAGGGACTCACCCCAAGCCCAGGATAGGAGTAGTCAGAGTAGATATCTCCTGGTTGCCCCCAGGAAGCTCTGATCCCTGTTATTAAAGGGAAGTGGGGGCTGACATCCTCTTCCTATTTCCCTAGGGGAAGAAACCAGCAAAACCTGGCTCCTTGATCTCCACTTCACAGCTCTTTTATGTTTCCTTACTGATGTGCCCTGTCCTGATACTTCCTCTGTACATATGTCCTAGACATATGTACATCCTAGAACATCCTTTCTTCATTTCTTTGCTGTGGCACAAGAGGTCTAGCTTGTATATGCTAGACAAGCACTCTCCCAGCTTCTGCTGTTGTGCTTCTACCTGACTTTAGCACCAGCGGCTCCGTCACAAGCTTCCCATTGACATACGTCTCTGCTCCTTCACAAGGCTCCAAGGTGACCACCACTGAGTGGAGGGAGAAAGGAAGGAGAGGTTAGACCCTGGGGAAGGCAGGCGGTGGTCAGACTCCCACCTTGTCTTATCCCCCCAAACCACACATGCATCACCCACACCACCCCCCTAGTACCTGTGAGGGTGCCATGTCCCCTCTGAAGGCAGGCAGCACAGGAAAGGAAGAGCAGAAGGAGGGTTAGAGCCCTAACTACAACTACAACTGCAATGACTCCCTGCTCACCCTCCACCACCTTCCCCAGCAAAACAAAACAAAGCAAAACAAAAAACAAGTATTCTCAGAAGACTTCATTCCCAAGTTCAACTGGGCAGAGGTCCTGTTACTTCTGCCTTGAAATATTACTTCTATCTTTCCCACTGACATTATCCCCAGCCAGGTTTAGATGCATCCAGCAGGCTCCCAGCCTACTTCTCTGTCAGATGCTTCTTGCAAACTACCACCTGTCTGATCTTCTCAAGCCGCAGTCAACATACAAGACACACTGAACTTAATCCAAATGTTTGTGAACATACCCTACAGTGCCAATCACTGAGTCTGCTGCTTGCTGGGGACATGAACAAGTATGAGGCAGCTTCCTGCCTTCAGGAATGGTGGCCACTGACCCAGCCTGTGCAAGACTCCTTATCCAGGGATGCTGAGCAAGTCACCTAACGTCTAGGATCTTCTATAAAATGGTATAATGCAATCTTTATTTATAGAGTGCTGAGTAGCACAAATAAACAAGTCATAAAATAATAAGCAAACATGATTTGTTGTTATGTACACAATAATATGGAAACTGGAATGAGTTTTAATAGCAGCCAGAGATGGGGACTGCTGATATGGAGGTACAACAAAGACAGCAGAGAGCTCAGCTTAGGAAAAGAAGAATGGACAGGTTTATGTGAAAGTGGCAATCTTCCAGTCAATGCTCAAAGGAGGACTCAGCTTTCAATGGGCAGAAATGATGGCAAGGATGAGGACTAGGAAAGAGACAGCTAAGTGCGTCACTGTATGTAGGGGAACAACACAGGTTAGGATAGACACCAGTTTACCCCACCTTCACTTCCTTATTTCCTACCTGCCCCAAAATGCCTTACTGGTTTTGCAAAAATATTACAACCCTACTATATGCTAGGCTCTATCTGATGAGACCCTGGAAGTGAACTAACACAGAGATAAAAACCCCAAATCCCTGCTAGCACAGAGCTTACCTCTGGTTGGTAAGACAGATTATAAACTGTGTGTGTGTGTATATATATACGCACGCACGCACGTGTGTGCACACCCATGCACCAGTCCTGAGGCTTGAACTCAGGGGCCTGGGTGGTGTCATTGAGCTTTTTTGCTCACGGTAAGCACTTTACCACTTGAGCCACCCCTCTATTTCAGGCTTTTTGGGGTGGTTAACTGGAGATAAGAGTCTCACACACCTTCCTCCCAGGCTGGCTTTGAGCCAAGATCCTCAGATCTCAGCCTCCTGAGTAGTTAGGATGACAGGCATGGGCCACTGGGGCCTGGCAAACAAGGTAATTTTAAGTCATTTAATTCTAGAGTGTGTGTGTGTGTACTGATCCTGGAGGTTGAACTCAGGGCCTCAGCACTGTCCCTGAGCTTTTGTGCTCAAGGCTAATACTCTACCACTTGAGCCACAGCTCCACTTACAGCTCATGGATTTTCCCACCCAGGCTGACTTGGAACCATGATTCTCAGATCTTAACCTTCTGAGCAGCGAGGATTATGGGCATGAGCTACAAGCACCTGGCTAATTCTAATAATTTTTCAAAGCAGATAATCTAAAGTCCCCTCAACAGGATAGGTGTTATGGACAGAAAATACGATCAAGTCAGATGACTTCTCCAGCCTAGTCAGGGCAGTCCTCGTCCTGTCAACCCAGCAGCCTGAGGCAGAGCCCTGTAACCCTACTGTCCTGTACTGAAATCCAGTTCTGTTCTCTGTGTAATCTTGAGCAAATTACCTAACCAAAAGCCTCTGTTCTATCACCTGTGAGTTTTGTGAGAAAATACACACTAGATGTCAATTTATTTAACAGTCTTGCACATGTCTGCCCTTTCTTCAAATACACTGAGCTCTTGGATAGTGGGCTCAATCCTCAGGCCTTGTATGGCTTTGTAATCTCTTCCAGCACATGACTTGAGGTAACCACAGAAGAGGAACTCAGCAATAACTCACTGCACTGAACTGGTTCAACAGCTTTCAGCCCAATGCCGGAAGCACTTGCTGTCACTGGGGACTTAAATCACACCAGAATACCAAAGCTAATCTGCTGACCCTGAACCAGACAGGAACCCAATTGGCAAATCTTAAACCTGCGAGCCACATGACAGTGTCAATTTTGTTTTTTGTTTTTGGGATTTTTTTTGGTAGTACTAGGGTTTAAATTCAGGGCTCTGAGGTTGCCAGGTAGGTGCTCTACCACTTGAGCCATACCTCCATCACATTTTGCTTGTTTTTGTTTTAAAATAAGGTCTTGTTTTGCCCATGCCAGCCTAAATCACGAACCTATTTATGCCTCCTACGTAGCTAAAATGGAATGTAAATACCACTTCCCAGCTACTAATTGAGATGGGATCTCATGCACATTTATCCTGAACTGGCCTCAGATTGATCCTCATGTTCTTTAGCCTCCTGAGTAACTAGGAGGATTACAAGTGGCAGTCATTGTACCTAGCTTCTTTTTTTCTTTGAAGACAGTGATTCCACACTCTTCTCAAACTAACCCTAAACTCTTGGGCTCAAGCAGTTTTCCTACCTCAGCCTCCATAGTAGCTGGGACTACAGGTATGTGCCACCATGCCGTTTTTTCTTTTTTTATTGTTGTTAGTCATGGGGCTTGAACTCTGGGCCTGCACACTGTCCCTGTGTTCTTCACTCAAGGCCAGTGCTCTACCAATTGAGCCACAGTGCCACTTCCAGTTTTCTGGTGGTTAATTGGAGATAAGAGTTTCATGGACTTTTCTGGCTTTGAACCACGATCCTGAGATCTCAGCCTCTTGAGCAGCTAGGATTACAGGCATGAGCTACCAGCGCCTGGCTTTTTTTTTCCTGTCAATTCTGAGGCATGAAGTCAGGGACTGGGTGCTTTCCTTGAGCTCTTTTGCTCAAAGTTAGCACTCTACCACTTTGGGCGACAGCACCACTTCTGGGTTTTTTAGTGGTTAATTGGAGATGAGTCTCACAGACTTTCCTGCTCAGGCTGGTTTTGAACTACGATCCTCAGATCTCAGTCTCCTGAGTAGCTAGGACTACAGACATACGCCACTGGTACCCAGCTTATTTCTTACTTTTAAGACTATGGTAGGGCTGGGAATGTGGCTCAGTAGTAAAGTGCTTGTCCAGCATGTATGAGGCTCTGAATTCAATCACCACCTCTCTAAACTAAAAACCAAAACAGAACCATCCTGAACTTCACAAGCACTGCTTTGTTCCTTGGTCAGAAAGGCTACCACCTTCACTCTTAGGGTCCATGATTTCTAACACTCTCTGCCCACATTTAAGGCTAAATAAAGGCTCTGCAAGCTTTGGAACCACAGAGACATGTGGGCTCTTTAACACTCAGAAAGCTTTTGTCACAAAGGAATCAATGCAGGTTCAGATATTCCACTGAAACAAATCCAGGTTTTCACACCCAACAACTAGGGTACTATTTAAATTATATATAAGCTCAGCACCAGTGGCTCACGCTTGTAATCCTAGCTACTCAAGAGGCTGAGATCTGAAGATCATGGTTCAAAGCCAGCCTGGGCAGGAAACTCCATGAGACTTTTATTTCCAATAAACTATTTTAAAAAGAAAGCTGGAGGGCTAGGAATGTAGCCTATTGGTAAAGTGTGTGTCTAGCATTCATGAAGCCTTGGATTCAATTCCTCAGTACCACATACATAGAAAAAGCTGGAAGTGGTGCTGTGGCTCAAGTGGTAGAGCATTAGCCTTGAGCAAAAGAAGCTTGGGGACAGCACCCAGGCCCAGAGTTCAAGCCCCAGGACCAGCAAAAAATAAATTAAATAAATAAATTGTATATATATACATATATATATGTGTGTGTGTGTGTATATATATATATCTACATACATATATATGTATATATATTTAGGCATTTCCTCCTCATCAAAATCCCACCCTCTGACATGCCATAGTGGTCTATCAGCCATGCAGAGAGCCAGACCCTTGGTATTGTCCCCTGAGCTTGGAGTCCCGAGAGTGAAGATGCATCCCCATATGTGGCTGAACTCCCCGATGTCCAGCCCACATGCCACCCATCTCTCCTATCTGGCTCTCCGGCTCTCCTACCCCTTCCACACCATTACCTTCTCCATCTGGCTGAGGAAGGCTTCGGAACACACAGTGTTGTTCCTGGATGAACTGTCCGGTCAGCTTGATGTCCACATCTAACTGGCCAACTCTGAAGAAGCAACAGCCAATACTTTCTAAGCATGTTCTAGGTTTTTTGCCAGGTCTCTCCTAAGCACCAACTCATCCTAGTCAATAAGCATAATTATTCCCATCTTACAAATAAGGAAACTGAGGCTCAGGGAGAGGAAGTAACTGGCTAAGATCATGCACATGAGCAGTAGTGAAGCTGCCTATCCCTAAAATTATACAATAAGGGTGAGAAGTGAGCCTGTACTAGATGGCCCCATCAGTCATGACATTGTACACCCTTAGGACTGATCACCCTGAGGACTCACTTTCTACCTACAATGATCACCCAGGACACCTGGCCCCTTTAACTGCAGGATGTACTGAGCCCCACCACTTCATACACATTAGCTGGCAATGCTTTCTACCAGGAGGCTGTTGTGGACATTGCTCCTTGATAACGTACGGCCAGGTTGTATGACCCTTCTCCCTCATCTACAGAGAATCCCAGCAAGGAACAAGATCATGGTGGTAGGGAAAAACTGTGGTGGTCCATCTCCCCCAACTCTCCTGCTCTAGTATATCAGGAGCAATCCCATAATGCTGGACTCATTTGGTTCCAAGAAGAGTATCCTGTCCTCACCAAACTGAGGGACACAGACAGCCAGAGGAAGCAGGTCATCAATTGTCAAGAAGCCAGGAGGCTCAGTGGTAGAGCACTAACAGTAGTGCACAGGGTTCCGAGTTTAATCCCCAGCATCAACAAAATTAAAATTAAAAAGTTGGGGCACCAAGGGCTCAAGCCTATAATCCTAGCTACTTATGAGGCTGAGATTTGAGGATCAAGATTCAAAACCAGGCCAGACAGAAAAGTTTATGAGACTTTTACTTCCCATTAACCACCAAAAAGCCAGAAGTGGAGCTATGGCTCCAGGTTAAAGTACTAGCCTTGAGCCAAAAAGTTCAGGGACAGAACCCAGGCCCTGAGTTCAAGCACCAGGATTACTGGCGCACATGTAATATCTGAGCTGCTATTCACTGGCAGAAAATTCCTCCTATTGTCTGGCCTCTGGCCCTCCTGCTGTTGGAAATTTACTCTCTCCCCTGAATCCCCTTTTCCCTGGGAAAAGAATATCCACGGGAATTAAAATGTGAAATCAGAAAACAGAACAAAATTATTGATAAAGGGCAAAACCTCTTGGTAAAGAAAAACCCCAAAGGCTGACTACTGGTCAGCCTTTGCCCCTTCTCCATCCCTGCTAAAAAGCAAAAGAACATCTCTCCCTCACTTAAGTTTACCAAGCTGGCAGCTTTGCAGAAGGCTGTTGATAACCTTGAGGCTCATCACCAGCTGCACTGAATTTAGTATTAGTCAGGAGCTTATAATAAAAATCACTTCTGTAATAGTGTCAATAGCATTGATAGTATTGGTCATGCCGACCAAGTCAAGATTCTGTTTTGCCTATGCTCCTGTGACTCAAGGCTATGTTTTTGCTATGATTT